TTTGGCCCAAGGAAATGCCGGTTCATTATCAGGCGCCCTTCAGAAAAGCTGATCTCAGGAGTGCTGCGCCTCACTGCCAAAGTCCCTGGTCTCCAAGCCACAAGGCTTATGTCTTCTATCCAAAGCTGGAATGTTCCTGGTCTGCGGCGGCCACCGGGTCGTCGCTTTGGCATGGGCGGATTGCTGAACTCCCGAACGATCCGGAACACAGGGTCACAGCCAGGATGAAGCTGTATTGCCGTGCGACTATCATGAGAACTCCTCAGGGGCCGAAGCCGTGTGGAACCAAAGCATAAGAACCAGTCCGGCGCGTCTCTTTCTAGTAGGACGAGAGTGGCGAGTAAATCATCCTGCTTTTGTTTCAAAAACCGACGGGTCGGACACAAAGCCGAGAAGAACCATCTTGAGACCAGGGCAAGGGCTATGCGTGATGATATGGGCAGCGCGTCGGCAATCATAAGGAGGACCTTGACTGGCACAGAAGGCAGCCTGAATGGATTCTTTTGCGCCTCAGTAGTTTCTGTACAGCGCTTCGCCATGTGTATTTATTCAAATAGAAAGGAAAATGGAAAAGGAAACGGGAGAGAAAATCTGAAGGGTTAATGATTATAAGCAATTTCGCATGCAAATCTTTCAAGGAGCGGGAGCTTAAATAGCCTTTTTGTTATAGAATCAAGGTTAATCGTTAAACACCTGGTACATGGTTTTGTGGACCTCGTCTATTGACCAACGCTGGAAACCTTGACATGTATCTTCTGCCGCCTACTGGCAGGCCACAGGAGTGGTAGCCGGCTCAACGCCTGTCCATATTCAACGGAATGGTTGGAAGATGCGATATGTGCTATCCAGTCAAAGTAATGGTGACATTATGACTCGAGACATATTAACATCCGAAATCAACTGATCGTTTCACCTCGCAAATCGCGGCCCATTCTCGCCAATTTGCAACCTCAACCTCAGATCCCGCGCTGTGGCCTTCAACTCAGCATCATCCATGTTTTTTCAATCTTTTAAATACTCTCTGCTATCGGGTCAAGTCTCAAGAGCAGAGTGGCCAGAGCGCCACGTCGGGTTCAGCTGGGCTCTACCATATGCTGGCTCAAACCACGCCTGAATCTGAGCTGGAATAAACCAGCTAGGATGAGAACGGCTCATACCATGGTTGACTCATCTGCAGAAGAGTATCAGACTGTCGACGAAAAGCTACCTGATACCAAATATCTAGTAGTGGGCAATCTTCAGCAGATCGATGTAGGGAAGCGCACAGATTTTGACAAATTGACCTCTGTGAATACCCGTTCGTGACACGGATTGCAGCACACTCCGAGGGAAACCCTTTCGTACGAGTAGCTTCAATATCTGCGCCATCACGCAGAACATCAATAGTAATACTCGTTCAGGACTGGTGCAGAGCAGCAGCTTCAGTGTCAACGAAACCGAAATTATGGGCCTCGATGGCAATTCCGGAACACGCGAAAGTCTGGGGGGCATGTACGAGAGAATATGGAGCTTCGAAGCTCTGCTTTGATGGGCGCGACACTTCATCCCAGTTGCCGCTCTCCTTGGAGTTACCGTTGCCCTTCTAGACACCATCTACGCAAATAGTCGAGCAGCGGGGGTTCGGCTTCTGGGGCTCTCCGTCTGGCTCGAAGTCGTCTGGGGAAATCTGTGGATTTCCAAACTCATCGCAATGCTTATGCCAACTGCGCACGTCTTTTTCTGCAGCCTTGTTAATTCCGGCACCCGGAAGTATCACACCGTCCTCCGAGGTGTGGAGACTTCCATCTCGCTGGTGTTCTGGACCATCAATGCCTATGCCACCGTCGTACCTGTATGCATAGCATTTGACTCCGATATACCTACTCCCAACTGGGTATCGATCTTACAGAAGGTCATCTTGGCTTGCATCGCTGTCGCCGCCATGGTCCTCGTCCATCGCTTCGTCATTCAGCTCATCACATAACATCACATACTCCGCAAAACAATTCACCACGCGTATTTCAGAGTCCAAGCGCCAAATCGCCGTGCTATACACTCTCTACGCATCTTCAACGCGCATATATCCGCTTTTTGCGATCGTTTCGCCCAAGAGCACTACACCATCATCACCGGCGAAGTCGAACAGAAGAACAGCTCACCAAGCAAGCTTCTCGCCAGTATGCGACTGGCAGGGCGAGAGGTTGCACAGGCCTTCGACCAGATGACAGCAGATATCTCCGGCAACAAGTCGCTGTTCAACACCCTCACACCATAGTCACAGAAGCGCTTGAAGCCGCCACTTCGTCTGACTCTCTTGATCGACGTATCTGGAGGTCGTTCGTCCCTTTGACTGGAGATGCTCTGACGCAAAAAGACCTCGAAAAGGCATTTACTGCTGCTCGTATTCGTGACGTTCAAGAGCTATTTGCTCTGCTCGACCTGGACCAGAACGGCGATGTCAGCTTGGAGGAGATGATCTCGACAGTCATACGCATGGGCCAAGAGCGCATCGCAATCTGGAAGAGTACCCACGACATAAAGTCTGCCGTGCGAGTCCTAGACCATTTCTTCCAGGTTTTCATCCTCATAGGTACCGGTTTCACATACGCCGCCTTTTCAGCAACTCATTCTCGATATATCTTACCACCATCGGCACCTAGCTTGCCGCCGTTTCTTTCGCTATTTCAGGGACTGTACAGGAATTTCTAGGCTCGTGCATTTTCATCATTTTTGTGAAGCACCCCTTTGACGTGGGCGACCGCGTGATAATCGACGGCCACCTCGTGGCCGTGGAGAAGATTTCGCTGCTGTGTTTCGTTTTCCAGAATATAGGCTCAAACAAACCGACACAGGTTCCTAACATCAATCTCAACAGCATGTGGGTGAACAATGTTTCCCGAAGCAGGGGTCTACGAAAGCGCATTACAGTGCAAATTGCAGACAACACCAGCTTAGATGACATTGAGAATTTGTGAAGACGGATACGGGACGAGATCGGTGCTCCTGAGAATCGTCGGGACTTTCGTGGGGATGTAGATGTTGAACTTGTCTCCATTGGCGGTACGAGCAAGCTTGAGGTCTGTGTCGAGGCTAGGTTAGTTCTACTTCCTTTGCTCATACATCTGCTTGCTGACTCAGAAACAAGTCGAATCGGAATAACGAGCAGACGTGTCGCATACGTCGCAATAAGCTCATGACTTCTGTGGTGGGATCCCTTCGTGTTGTTTCCATTCATGGGCCAGGCGAAGGTAGCGCTACTCTGGGCGATCCGGCCAGACCAACTTATCAGGTCGTTGTGAGTGAAGAGGTAGCCGCGGCGGCAGCTAGAGATTTCCAACATGAGAAGGGCGCGCTCAACAGTGTTTCTCCGGTATCATCTTCCAACAATGATGATCAGGGGTCGTTCACAGGCATGGCACGGCGCAGGTAAAGGTGACTACTGAACTGAGCGAAGCTACCTAGTGGGCATGATACTCCAATTGCTTCGTGTTCTATGGGAATCTCAGCGCATTTATAGCAAGAACAAATGTTCTGCGTCGGAATGTGGAATGAATCGGGAGCCGAGTCTGACGGAAAGGAGACAGGGGAAAGCGAAGTGTGCTTGATTGGCCGACTCGAGGGTTGGCCCTTGGCAAAGCATCTTTGTTCAATAGGCAGATATAGAATGTTAGGTATCAATTTGTCATTATTACAAGTAGAAAAATCGAAAGTGGAGAGCGGCACTGATGCGTAGGCGGTAGAGATATTGCAAAGCCATGATGTGGAAGGCGCCTTCTCATTCAACTACGTTTATAAGTCTTCCCTTCGTTGTATTTCCTTTTGGTGACCTTCTAGTTTCTATTTTGTAGCTGTTATCGCAGCTTTCGTACCATCGTCTCCGTCTAACGTCAGCTGCCATCGATAACTACATTGTATATCCTTCTCCATCTCTCACCGTCTGCTTTAGTTCCCCGTCATACATATTGCTCATGCCTTCAACTCCCTCACTCTCGAACTACCTCCCATTCCGATCCAAGATGATCACCAACAAAGCTCTCGCTAGCTGACTTTAAGATCCAATTTTATAAAGTCTAAAATAATTTCAATTTATCAGAGCCTCTTACGATTTGCCTCACATAATGAACTCGGGCCGTTATACAAGTGATTGTTGTCCGTGACGGAACGTCACCCGCATCTTCACCGTCTACAATGGGACCGGATCTAAAATTATCCCTTCTCTGGACTGAAGTCTCTTTCGATGAACTTTCTCATGAGAACACCTAGAAGAACCTTTCCTGATTTGAAGACCAAAATGGTTTCCTCCTCATTTCCATGGCGCTCTTCACTTTTGATTTCTTTCTAATACCACTATGCAGAAAGTCTATTGATGGAAGTTTGGGAGGAGCAACGAACTAATACGAAACGATGGATTGACATTCTTGGTTTGTCTGCCACTCAGAGCCAAGGTTCCAGGGTATTTCGGCAATAAAGTCTCCTTAGAAACCTTGAAATTGATCGGCTGTGGATTTACCGGCTGTCGAGGACGTCTAGATCTTGAATTTAAGCTTCGTCCGCATGGATCGAGGAAGCATGAAAGCATCCAGTAAAGAGTGTCTGAGCCATGATTATCATTCCGGATTGACTCAAAGAATATGTGTTTGAAGTACCATATCGATCTTCTCGGTATTAAAGTATAGTACACATTAGCGCTGTGCAGGTTAGAATCTTATGTGAGAATCTTATGGTTCAACCCCCTTGTTCCTGGCTGACTACGCGATGCCTGTTAGTTTCTTCAATTGACTTTGACCATGCGTTCCTGTTGCACTCGGACATGCTTCTTCCTCAGAACCCCACCCCGAACCCAAGGGTGTCTAGAATTTCAGAAAGCTGTCGTTCAACCTTAACCCATTGGGGCGTTGGACGACTACTTCTGAACAACCCGACTCTGCTCTGGCAACCTTTGCGTGCATCGAATAGTATACACAAAGACTAGAACCGAATCCATGATGATGTTCACTTACTCAATTGTGCTCGCCTCAGCGATGAGTTTGCTGTTTGGCACGACTGCGAATTCTGTATCGCCGCCAGACGGTCGAGGCCACCTCAGCCATCGAGTTGACGGTCCCCTCCTCGATCCAAAACGTACGACAGATGCAGTGCGCGCACCAAAAACGAACGTTTGGCGTGACCTTAGCGAAGAAGAAGTCCACAACGTGACTCACTGGCTTCTCGGTCAGCGAGACCTCAATCTGACCGACCCTCAGTCAGCAGGGCCGTGGTCTAATACCATGTAGGACACTAAGGGAAAATCACTTGAACATGGATTTGACGAAAGTAATGACAGTCTCTTTGCTGAGCTCAACATTCCCAACAAAACGGCTGTTCTTCCGTACTTGGACAGAAATTCCAAAGAAAGTCCTCCTCAGAGATACGCACGTGTTGTCACCACTCGCCGAGCAACTGCAGAAGCCTACTGGCAAGAGCTTGTCGTTGGTCCCTTGCCTATAAGTGCCCAAACGACTGTCCAGCCTCTCCAATACCTCTTAACCCGCAAAACAGATGGCATGATCCGTTGGCTTGACCCGGATGCCCACGGTGCCTTGGAAAAGGAGTTCCTGTACAAGGTGTCTGCTTCTGTTGCAGATATTACTCAGGAGCTTTGCGGAGGCGTCGCCATTGGGCAGGATAATGACTCGCTGGCCCTTGTTGGACTCACAACTCCTTACCAGGAAGATACCGACGGAGTCATAGTTCGATGGGACGAGTTCAAAAGAAAGCCATCGGATCAATTTGATGCCCAGACGCTACTCCCTCTGGGCCTATTCCTCAAGACCGACGTGACTGGGCGTGATTCGAGCAAGTGGCGCGTCATGGGATGGTACTACAACGACATTTTCTACGCTGACACCAACGCATTTCGAGCTGCATACCAAAGCCCCAATTTTCAACGATTGGAGCCAAATGTGGAAGGTGACTGGGCTCGGACGGATCGTCAAGGGCCACCACTACGGCACGACCTATTGCAACCGCCCAATATGCTGCATCCTAATGGGCAGACACGCTTCTCGGTGGACAATGAACAGCAGTATGTGGAGTGGATGGACTTCAGCTTTTACATCGGATTCTCGCATGATACTGGTATGTCGCTGTACGACATTCGGTACCGAGGTCAACGGGTGTTGTATGAGCTGGGCTTGCAGGAGATCCTAGTACACTACGCAGGTGAGTCAAACCAGGGTCAAATCATTCTGACATCAGTTGTTCCCTTTCCCTTTCACTGCCTGACCATATTTTCAGGATCCGGCCCATACGAATCAGGCCATGTTTCTCATGACTCGCATGTTGGCATTGGTCGATATGCACTTCGTCTGGTACCTGGCTATGACTGTCCTTCATACGCAACATTCATGGACACGCGAAGCCATTCCGGAGGTGGAACCAACGGCCGACGCAATTCCATCTGCATCTTTGAGTACATGGCGGACTCGCCAATCCAGCGACATACGGCCTTCACTTACTTGTCTATCACGAACAACGTTTATCTAACTGTCAGAACGGTGAGCACCATAGCCGATTATGACTATGTTATCAGCTACAAATTCTACATGGACGGATCCATTGGGGTGGAAACGGAGGCTTCAGGATACATAATCGCAGCCCATCGAGCTCACAACCAGGACTACGGATATAACATTCACGACCATCTGTCAGGTTCCATGCACGAACATGTCATCAACTTTAAAGCAGACTTTGATATCTTAGGGACTCGAAATACGGTTCGAATTGTGCGGAACGTCCCGGTCAAGCAACTATATCCCTGGTCCAACGGGAAAACGCGGAGCACGATGCAGCTCCAGCGGTCATTCATCATCAATGAGGATGACGGCCGCTTGAATTGGGATGACAGCACGGCTCAGAAGCAATTGGTGATTGTTAACCAAGACGCTGTTAACGAGTATGGTGAAATGCGCGGCTACCAGCTTGTCCCGGGGCAGCCAGCAGCGGCACTTCACTCCCGGCTTACGGCCGTGAACAGTACGTCACTTGGCCGAACAGCTGGCTGGAGCTCGCATGATGTGCATATCACAGCCCAGCATGACACGGAGCCAAGATCAGCGTACCCTTTCAACGCCCATGACCTCTTCAATCCCCCAATCGACTTCGACCGGTTCTTCGATGGTGAGGACCTCAATCAGACAGACCTCGTCGTATGGTTCAACTTGGGCATGTATCATCTACCGCACTCTGGTGATCTTCCCAATACTCTTACCACCACAGCCCATGCGGGTGTGAAGATTGTACCAGTCAACTTTTTCTCATTGGATCAGACCCGCCGCACGGTGAACCAGGTCCGGATGGATTTTGGAAAAGGGAAAGTGTCCCATGTGGAGACGTTCGGACGGTCGATGAACCTTACTGAATCAATGGGAGGGAATGGGTGCTGTTGGATGAACGACCAGGTTTCGTTGGCCGAACTGTACAACTATGACGGCCCGGTAGATAATTAGGTAGATCAGAGTGGATATCGTCGTGATGGGTGGTCCGACTATGAGGCTAGATGCGGGGTGCACGACTTGGCTCAGGCTTCCTGATCCACGCTTTTGACAATCAACTACAACTACTTCAAGTCAAGCCCTTTCTCTCTTCCATTGATTTGCGTCTCACACAATTTTGCGGCACCAGTTTCGGTTTGAAGAGGTTGACAACGTCGCTCTGTGATAAGAGAAAAAGGTTTAGCGGCCGCTGTCTCACTCTAGGTACAGGGATATATTCGGGCAAAAGGGGTGTGCTTTTTTACCGAAGCTGAGAAGTTAGTTTAAACGCTGTGCGGCTCCGCTGGGCGACGCGCGTCTCTGCCTAGAAACAGCCACGGAACTCAGATGAGCGCACGAGTTGCGAAACCGATGGGAACCAGTGGGGCTTCCATGTTCAAGGTTATCTCGTTTCAAAGTATACATCCCATAAATCCTCTAATCGCGCCGACCCGCGGATCACGGCACATAATTCGTTTGATGCCTTGGGTAGTAAATTCGCCGTTATCAGGTGCACAATGCTTGTGATCGGGTAATTTGATTGAGGCGGTATTTACTCGCTAGCTCATAATGGACCAGTCACTAGATACAGATTTCCTTCAAAGCTGCCACGCGTCCTTGAGGGCTGCCTTTTTACAACAGTCCAAAACTTCTTGGACAGCTTCACAGGCGGGTCCTTCAGCCGTGACGTAGTCCTTGGTTCGCACTTGTTCTGCGTTCTGCGCAACCATGAGTCTAACATTCCATCATAATTGACCCCATTGGCCGTCACGTCTGCTTTTAGCTTCCTGAATGAAGGTAAGCTGTAGACGCAATTTGGCGAGCCGTGTCACCAGCAGCTGGCTTCATGCCCCGCACTCAGCGTAGATCAGAGCTGGACCTTGCCATGCTTGTTCCTGGACCCTAGATACCCATTAACGACATCCGGATCAAAAGCTTCCTGCACACCCCCATGACCTCAACTAGGTGACTTTGCACTACCGTCTGAACTGTTCAGCCTTGGCTTAGATCACAACTTTGACGGCAATGAAGTGTCAACTTAAAAGCTGTTATTGCGGCCGAAACTACTGCGGTTTATGAATTCAATTGCTGCAATAGCCGCAAGCCCAGTCTGACCAGTGCGTAAGCGTTGAAGGCTATTGTATCATCGACACCATTACAAGGGTACTGTCTCGAGGAAAACGGATTAGACTCAATGGAATAAGCGGAATTTTCATTCTGCGTCAGCACGTGGCAATTGGAGCTGCCATGCCTTCGACCGGACTACCTTGAGTAATTGCTAGACCCCTAAATTTGCCAGAGTGTTCTCAGCGCTCTTACGCCATGTCTCATGTTCTAACGTAGCCTGCCAAGCCTATGGTTCTTGGATTCTCATACCATCCACTTTCAGATCAGGGTCCGTCCAATCTCCGTCGTACGTCATCTGCGCAATGGCCCTCTTGACCGCCCATTCCCGAATCTTGTCAAAGTTTCGACAGCTGTGTGGCAAATTAGCCCGGTGGCGACTCTTTTGCAAGTTGTCATCCCATTGAAGCACCAATGGGGTGATATCTGAATGACACATGATCGACTGCCGAATGGAGTCGATGCAATGGGCCAAATGGTCCTTCTCGAGGATGGCGGCATAGTAAGGATCGGAATAGTACTCCGGCCATACTGACATGCGGAGAGCATTCTGCGTAGAAAAGGGGTCGGAGGTTAGCTCTGTGAGCTTGCACCCTAGTGTGAGACTTTGGTAGACTTACGAGGCAGTGCAGCTGATGAAATACGTCCAACTTTATCCAGTAAAGACCTGGATGTCTAGGACCAAGGGTTGAGGTTGTGTTGGAAAGACGCTGCGCTTCATCCCGCGTAATGGCTTCTCCTACGCTGACTTTCGAGAGAATCAGCCATATTCCTTTCAGAGTCGAAAAACACATTCCACTCACAGTGCCAAAGCTCAGCCCAACGCTGGTCCATCTCTTTTGACGGGGCTCCCCAATATTCAGTGACACCGTCACCAAACCCTTGGGTAAAGGTCTGAAGTTGATATTCAATTACGTCTTGTGCTGGACCTGATATGACGTTAGCCAAAGGGCAAAGCCACATTTATATCATCTCTCCCATCAATTAACATCAAATGTAACTTACTATAGAGAAGCTGCCCACATAAATGCTTGGCTCGGGTGATCCGGTACTGGGCATAGGTGTAACTGACACCGACAGTCCCCAAGAACCACCAGCACACGATCAACACAATACTGAGCTGCTTACATGCCGTCCTACGGAAGTTGGGTCGACGTGGACAAGACTTGGTACCGTTTTCGGAATCGCAAGGAACGAGCCACTCGGTCGAAGAACCTTTCAAAGTAGCCATTGGATATCAGGTATTCAACATTCATAAGAAAGGTCGTACGTCATGTAATTTGCTGTCTTCTGCACCATTTGGGCTTGGAAATAACGGTTCTACAAGGCTGCAGCCGTCTTTATTATGAATACATGCCGGAGCGGACAACATGACAGGCAAATAACGTCGGCACATAGACATATCAAAAAATGGGTGTGCACATGAGGGGTCTCACCACCAGCTTTGAAGGCTACTCCACCCGTCATTCCAGATGAAATTTAGCCAGGAGGTGCCAAATTGCCCAAAACACTAAACCACCAGACTGTACTGTTCTAGAAAATAGTTTATGCTGATCACATTGGCCAGACTACGAGTTAGGCGCCGTCCACGGGTAGCTTCGGGAAGAAACAAAAAGCCAAATCGCTATCTGGCGGTTGGCATCCTTTTCTCCAAGGCTCATTGTGTATTCCACAATAAACTCTAGGAACAGCTTCATACCTATTGAGGAAAGGTTTCCCGAGCTTCGTAGCTTAGCATTTCCGAGTGATTCCAAGCACAGGATCATTCGTGTCCATAATGACATGGATGGCAAAAGAATACCCTCAAGCGCATGAAGTCATTTCAATGTTCCAGGGAACTCCTGCTCATGTGGGATGATGATCATGAAACCCTGAGCAAACATACTATGTATATATGAATCAGTTTCTTGACTTTACTGGGGCTGACCCTTGATCTAACTTTGTTCACCCGGAAATGGTAGTCACGTAGAATATGTCTGAGTCTCGTTGCTTAGGCAGTTATGTATATAACCTCGGCCGGCTAGGGATCGCTTGACATATGTCCAGAGTTCAGCTTTCTTCTGCATACTGAAGGTTATCGTGAAAGCTGTCTCTAAGTGTGAAAGAACAAGTGCAGTACTCTCTCCCCTGCTGAAAACTCCTAGGCTCTAACAGCGTTATTGAGTTAGGGTTACGTTGAGTATGTTCAGTGTCTTCAAATAATATCGAAGGACACCATCTCCCGTCGAATCAGCCCACCTTCAGTTCGATGCCCCCTCACTATGAAACGATCTTACCGCCATGATATTAACCAAAACAGATGGGCTAAGGGGCTGACATGGGCTACACCCCAGCAACGGCACCATGTAATCAAATGCAATTCCGTCGATCATAGCAAAATTCAAAACCCCTCAGAAAATAGACCTGCTCTCTTTGCTTTCAACGTATCCGCTGCTCTTGGCTCGAACAACTTTGAGACTCGTTTGTCGTTCAATAGGCTTCTTCAAATTGCCGAAACTAGCGAACGGCAATGCCTCATCAGCATCACATGTTGTTCTCAATACCGAGGTCAGCAGTCATTTCGGCACATGAAAGGTTTAGGAGTTGTTATGAGAAGCTCTCACTAATCGTTTAAGAAACATATAAAGTATCTGTCTTCACCATCATCATCTTACTTGGGTTTGTATCATCCGTCCGTCGCCGCACATCCTACATCACTTGAGCTTTACTATCAAATAAACCAGGATTAAGAAATTATATCCGTCATCATGCAGTCAGCCATCATTATCCTCAGCCTCGCTGTCTTGGCTGCTGGCGCTCCCAAATCTGTAAGCGAATCTTCAACTCTGTTTGCCTTAGTGGAGAGAGAGCCTTCTGGCATAGTTTCTTACTTTGCTTCCAAGGGTAATGGGATTGTTGTCCGATCTCTTGATGACCTTGCTCATGTCGGCCACGGCGAAGTCGTGAGGGTAAGTCATCCTACCTATACACCGCAGAAAAAAACGAGGTTCCCCTACTGATCGTTCAATTCTACATACAGCTCAAGCGTGTCAAGCGTTGCGAGTTTGCTGCTGCTGCTCCTGAGAATGCAATTGTTAATAAGAGAGGTAACACCTCCACTGATTGCGAGGATGTTCCTACGTTTATTACCAACTGGTAATTCGTAGTACAGTTTAGAAGAAACATCAAATTTGGATGGGAATATGGTATTTAGTTCATAGTCTGTAAGATTCAACATCTTGCTGACCTTCTTGATTAAATAAAGTTTCGGTTTCCTCGTACAACTAATATGACTTTCCCCTGGAGCAGTGGAAGAATCAAGTCTGAAGTGGGGCTGGTCAGCTGATCTCTGCCACAGAAGCTGTAAATTTCACATCAAGCGGCACCTACTCTGCTTTAATTGCCTCGGCTTGTTTTTCAAAAGCATGGTGTGAATGTTTCTGGCTTGAGTCAGCCTCACTAAGCGTCTGCCCAAGTCAAATAGATATTACCAAATGGCGACATAATTCGTAGTGTCTGGAAGTATCCCAGTCACCAACAGCTATGGACTTCTTTTACCGCATTTGGGTCTCGTAGATATAGCTTCTTTCAAAAGACAAATAAAGCAATGAATGAAATCAAGTGTATAGTCTGGAGCAGGCTCCTGACGCGCAGGCGCGTGCGCTGAAGCGAAAGGAGCAATCTCTCTTCCGTATGGAATTTTCTGCTAGCGTGCGAATCCGTGGCCTGAAGTACCCCTTAAGCCATGGAATCGGTGGAGTAGAGGCTAAGAATACTATCCAGGTATCAGCTAAAGTAACGCAGCAGCAGGCAGGCGCGAGCAGCAGCGGCTGCGACGACCCGGCCCTCGGGCTTTCGCCGCGGCAGTCTTCCGTACAACTTCAGTAATTTTATGAGAGTACCCGCAGATCAGAGAAGAGGATGACTTGGAGGATGTGAGTTGGTCTCACGGAGTCTCAAACTTGTCTTTAACTTGGCACTGTTGACTCAAGTTATTTCAGCTTGGGCTCATTGGAAGTGAAGCAATTGTAAGGTCTGACCTTACGGTAGGGTCAATTCAACCTCGTGGTAATGCGTCAAATCACAAGCACTGATGGTATAAAGCTACCGCATTCCATTCCGGGGGGAAGATTTACATCGGGCGATGCTTTGCAATCCGAGACAGCTTGTTCTTTCTGTACCTCGAGCGACAGTTTCGCATGTGGATGTATACTCTACCTTGCCCTCGTCGCTATCATCGTCGCTATGGTCGTCGTCGTCGTCGTCGTCGTCGCTACTATCGTCGTCTTCAATAGGAGTGGCCAAGTTCGTAGAACACATGATCGCGTAGACACACACAGATTAGGTGGTCTCTTCGGAAAATATGTTTCCTTGGGCGCAAGTCCATGCTGCAGCAGGAGCCGTAATATTTATCTTCCCTTGCCGGCGGTGTTCGGGCTGGCCCTCAACAAGGGTTCTCCCAACATATTGCAGATCGTGCCAAGCTGACGTCTCCGTGTCTGTAATCCCAGGTAGGAGGTCGTGATCTAACACGACGAGACCTCACTAGCGAAGAGGTGCCAATTGGTATTGGTCGAAGAGGGAGAAGAGGGACTTGACGCAAGTGAGGTGCAGAGCATCCCAGCCGGCGAGATTGTCGCAAACAAGCTTGATCGTCTCCCGCGGGGTTCGAAGTAGGCTGGGCATGAAAATATTAAAGTGCTGCCTACCGTCGCCATCACTGTCGTACTTGCTGTCGCCGGTATAACTGCCGCTTCCCTTTGTCTTAGAAACCGAGACTCGTTTCTGCTCTTGTCACCTCCGCCTCTTGAGTGCTGATTTCAGCCCATGAAATCCCGACATGCGTATCTTTGGGTACGTACTTCAGTGGGGAGCACAGACCATTGATCAGGAATAGTGAGCCAATACTCCCGGTACGTGCGTCTCTCCCGTTTCCGGGCCTTCGTGTGTCACAGCTGCAACCCCCACAACCCCCTCAACCACGCACATCCATTGCAACGACAGTTGAGTCACAACAACAACAACAACAACAACAACAGCAACACGTGAACGCATCATCACCACACCACAAGTGGCCGACGCCACGACCCCTCCGCAAGCCGAGGAACGGCTGACTAGCTTTGCAGACACATGGCGCTTCCCCGAGTTCGAGAAGCTCGACTCGGACCAGGACGTCGCCGGCACTCCCTTCTACGATGAATCCGGCGACCGCTGGTGTCTGCTCGCTGAGATCACCGACTTCTCCCTTATGCTTCGCGTCCGCCTCGTTGCCCGCGACCGCGAGGGTGAGAGTCTCGTCATCGCTTTCTACCCGGACAACGATGCCACTGAGGTCTTGGATACAACCAAGCTCAAGGTTGGCCACACCATTGCCCTACTCTATCCCCACCAGCATTACTTCCTCGACGGAACACAAGTCGTTCGCGTCGAGGACGTCAGTACCTGTCGCGTGAGTCTACTCTGCAGTTTTTGCTTTGGTCGATCTCATGAATTACTAATGCCGTGCAGGTCTTCCCCGTCAAGCTGGCCGAACTATTCCGCATCAATTCGGATCTTTGCGCGTACACTGGACCCACTGGCACACTCAAGAAGTGCCATTCCTGTGGAAAGGAAGATCCAAGTGTCGTCAAATGCGGCCGATGCGGACTGTACTACTATTGCAATAAGGTGAGCGTGCATGCCTTCTTCTTGCGTAAGTCGCCGGGATTGACACCATCGGACACAGGATTGCCAGACGCTTGGATGGAATCAAAAGGGGCACAAGGAGGCTTGTCGTGTGCTCAAGGACCCAGTCTTGAGAGCTCTGTTCAAGATTACTGTTGGTGAAGGCGAGCACCGGTTCCAATTTCCGAGATGAATAAGTGATGAATCGTTCACGGCGGCGGAGGGGCAATCACAGCCGGCATATCTTGTGAGGCGTCCTAGGGGCGGGAACGCAATGAGTTCTGTGCCGAGGACCAGAAATTCACCGGAGGTTCTGAGTTGGCTCCAAACATCGGATTCAGAAAGCGCGGAATATCTGCAAGACAACGAATGCGATGAAATCATCCAAACACTCTGATGCAGTAGACGGAGGATTGACAAGCCATTTATGATGCTCCCTGCCAACCGACATTAATCCTTTCTCCATAAACCTTGTCTTGAATACCCTGGCACGACCCCTGATGGCACGCATAGGTGGCGGTTAAAAGCTCAGATCAGAGATCAATGATGAATTTGCAAGTGAAACTTCAAGTCCATATGGAGCATCAGCCTCTGTGAACCTATACAACGACTTCATTGGCTCTGATGTTCATTTTATCTGGACGCATGACACGTGGTATGAACCAGCTACCGATGCGCATCTCTACACCGGACTTATCGTCACTCCCAGGCTGCAATTTTCATCACACAACACCCAGCCGCGAAACCATGTACAGTTGATGCTCCCGTTCGTGACTTCCTAACATAGTTTTGTCGCAGAACTAAATCTACTTCTCAAATATGCTAGAAACCTCTTCGATAGTTTGCCCCTTCGTCTCAGGGAACATGAAATAAGTAAACCCGACTTCAAATACCAGAATCGCAATGTAGGCTAGATAGTACCTCCAACCCAGGTTTTGCAGGGCCACCGGGTTGGCATATTGCCCAGCGGCACTAAAGGCGTACATGAGAAAGTAGTGCAGCGCCATGGCTTTCGCTCGCAGATGATAGGGGCATATCTCCGCAATGTACATCGAAGAGGTGTGTATCCGACATCCGACCCAAATTGGAATAAAAACACCATCGCGACGAGAGCTTTACTTGCCGCTGACTGCCCTTCTCTGGTAAATTGTTCTGTGGCTACAGTAAACCCTATCATGGCTAAAAGCATGATTACGCTCGAAGATATGAATAGGATACGGCGGCCGAGTTTTTTAACTAGGCTTGCAGCGGCAAGTGCGACACAGAGATTAAAAATTTGTAATCCGCCATTGATTCCGGCCTGCTGTGCTGGTTCGGTGATGCCGACTTGTTTCAGCGCCACGGAGAGGTAGAATGTGATGATGCCGCCCCCGCTCCATGACCCAAAAATGGTGGAGAACACAACTGTCGGCGATTTACAGGCCCTCGAAACCATGAGATCCAAGTTGTCTCCTGGGTCCGTTGGTCTAGCTCAATGGCTTGACATATTTCTGCAAACTGAACGGTCACCACCTCGTCATCCATTCTGCCGTTCGCATGGAAGTGAGCGAGAATATCTTTGGCTTCAGTATGGCGGCCACGAGAGACAAGCCATCTCGGAGACTCTGGTACAAGAAACAAAAGCGGTAGTTGGAGGGCTGGTGGGAGAAGTTGTAGCATTGTTGGAATGCGCCAGCTCCATTGTGATGAGATGTGCAGGCTTCCGAAAGAGACCCAGGCTACAACTAAGTGGGATGAGCAAAGTGTCAAAGCGCTAGACCTTTTCAACTTACCAACAGATCCAACGAAGAATAGGGATGCATACCCGCCTACCAGAAAGCTTCTTTGCCGCGGATGGGCCAGTTCTGTGAGCAGGACGGGACAGCTGGCGATCACGAACATGGAGCCTATGCCCAGCTGGGTACTTCGGTAAGCAGGTTTGCGATGACGTATCTTCATGAGATTACTTACTATGAACCGAGTTAGCACGTAAAGTCGAGCGTTGTAACAGAAGACTTGGCCAAGTACTGTGACACTGATGTCAGTCGCTTGTGTCCCGCGGAATGAAGATATTACGAAAGATGTCAAAGCCTTACCAGCTCCAATGATAATCATATCTCCAATCATAATCACTAACTTTCTACCCATGGTGTCTGCTATCCAGCTCGAGACAGGAAAGGCAGTCATTGCTCCAAAAGAGTATCCAGCGCCCATCAGCCCGATGAGAGTGCTGTCTCTCGGGTTAAGGCCGAGATCTGGGTGCTTAATGTCAACGTCTGCCAGTTTCTCTGATCTCATTGTTCATCTGCCTAATTCCCCTACCTTTGAACCCTGAGTATGATCAACACTGCGCATTTTGTGCAAGTAATTTGGGTATCGTAACTTACAGTGAGGCATTGTCAGAAGTGATGCTATGAGGGTTCCATCGTACCCAATCATCAACGGGCTAATGAAAACAGCAAGAAGTCGCAGGTTTAGGCTCCGAATTCCATGATCACTCCACCAAAATGTATCTGATTTGCTGAGGAAATCATTCCCTTTCAGGCGTTGACCAGGCTCAGGGGAATCATGTTCTAGGCACTCGCGGATGCCATGGTGAGATGTTGTCTTTTCCATCTTGAGAGCTCCCTTCAAATCGGTGGCCTTCATTCTTCTAGAATTCTCCATTGCCGGCCATTTCTTCGTAGTAACTATCCTGAGCATACGAGAGAATACTGACGGTGAAGCTGGTGACAGATGTTTGAGCATACTCACCCTTTTGCAAATTTGTCGCTGTAGTCGAGCATTGTCGGTCCGGATATTGAAGTGATACAGTCCGATTCGTCAGCGCCTTCCCTTGACGTTTTCGGGTACCGAAGACAGCCAGTGCAAAAACCATTCCGAAGCCCGTCAGCTCCGCAATGCCGGGTTTGCAGCGCTCAATCAAATAGACAGCCTTGGGCGCCAATCGCTTGGATTTGCGTGTAGCTCTCTAACCAAGATGGGGTTCGGTTAGTAAGCAATGTATTTTGCAGGCAGACTGGTTGCTGAGGGTGTCTGAGACAATGTTTGTTCTAAGTTCTCGAAGATCGGGCTTTTCCAATTACAGTTTTATGGTCAAACAGCCGCGAACCTTCCTCGCGATTGGCAGCGCTTAGTTTAAGAATAAGAGGACTTTGGAAAAGTCAAATCTCCAATAAGTTTTAGTTCAAGCAAGAAAAGGATACTGTGCTTTTGGGGCTGTGCATCATTGACTCGTCTACAAGGCGTGGGACTACATCCTCAACGAATAGCACTGGGATAACAATACTGCTAGAATTTCAATCACCTGAGTGACTACCTACCGAGCTGGATTGCGGTAACGGGCTGGAAGGCTCAACTACATTGCATAGTCTCCTTCAGCTTTCTTGTCATCACTTAGCACGTGATAGTCGAAGTATTTGATGATGAAGATCCTGGAGTATTGGTCCAATCCCGGTATCATTCAACGAGAGTCCCTGTTGCTTCGGTAATACTTACTCGCCATGCACAAAGTATGGAATCAATGGAATTCGTCCTGTGCACAAAGTAGTATGTCCTTGATGAAGGTCATCGGGATCAGGAAACTCGGGCCCGAACTCAACGCTGGTTAGCCTACTTTGGCATTTGATTCTTTAACTGTAGACATGATGTTAAGCAGCTCATGAGACCTTTGCAGGGCTTATTTTAGTGTTTTAGTGGATGACTTCGTAGTACCACTGACGTGTACACGCAAAGCGACCATAGGATGCTGGCGTCTAGAAGCTTCAATTACATATGTCGAAGAGACCAATTGTCACAGATAGTAAATTCAACTTCCGTAACATGGGATCGTGCATTTCAAATATCACTGCTGAGTGGATGAGCTTCCGCATGGACGTCGGGAGTTTCGGGCATTTCGGGAGTTTTGCACGAGCCATGAGCGTGATCCCAACGTTAGATCATTGAAGGGCAAGCCCGTGCTAGCAGGTTAGATGATCTAAGATGTCCTGCCAAGACGAACCTCTGTTTGACTGGATACGTGAAGTTTGTGTTATGGCTGCGCTCAATTACAATTCCTCCTATTTGGCCTGTAGACTGTTTTGTTCTTTGGACCGACACCGAGGGGCTATACATACATTCAGATTGAATGATTCTGAATCTTGCCGTCATTGTGAGCACCTGAAAGCAATCTTTGCCTCATTTTCCGGCAAAATAGCTCTGCTGCAATGATGTTGAACACCTACCGAGGTTTTACCAAAAATACAGAAGCACAATATGCCCCGTTGGACAAAGAATGCGGCGAAGATGATGGTATGGACTTGCGCCACTCGATAGACATAGTCATACATGGACTACCAAACAAGTGATCAAAGTATTCACAGTTACTCATCTTATCCTCTTTTCAACGGCCGCTGGTTGCTGGTTTTTGTGGCGCGAACAGCCAATCAACAAGTCATTGAAAGATATTTCATTTTACTGTAAGTACGTCTGTCACACGATGCTACGCACGTCTCTGACTTTTCCAATTGTGCAGCTCCGCTCTTAGACCGCATCGATATCCCTTATGTTCTTCGATTTGATCAGCCACAGACGATCAAGGGTGGCGACGGCGATATGACCTGGGGCTCTCAGCCGAATCCTGACATTGACAAGATGTGGGAGGAAATTACGACGGAAGCTACCATCCCAGTGACCGCCGCAGAGATACTGTCCATGAGGAAGGATCCTTCAGTGGCCGTAATGCTGCCCGAAGAGTACCACCTCGATAACGAACAGACCTACCTTGCGCACGCACTTGTTTTCCACAGGCTTCATTGTCTTGACTACATCCGGAAAGCATTGTACAAAGATTATTACTACCCAAACGGCACAGAACAAGTTCCAATGCATGGACATCACATCGCGCACTGCTTGGCAATGATTTTAGATCATATCACCTGCGCAGGGGATCCTGGACTTTATGGTAAGTCACAGTTTCATCAAAGACGCGAGATACTGATAGTTTGCTTCCAAGTATACCAATGGTATGAGCATACGGAGATACCACTGCCTGATGCCAATACCTGGGGAAAATGCTGGGATTTTGGTGCATTCCGCAACAAATTCGACAAAATAGCATTGAAAAACTTCAGTCCTTTTGATCTACGAAAGCCGGATGGAGCGAAACCTGTCACGGAGCAGAATAATTTGCAAGAAATCATTTATCAGACGCGAGATCCGAAGCCCAATCCTCACTTATGAAGTTCTGGCAGCAATGCGACGTGTTTTTCTTAGGTTCTATTTCATAAAGGTCGTCGAATAGTCGTACATAGTATTTTTGCATTTGACAAATCGCACATGTCTTCATACTTGAAGCAAGTGAGAGGCACTTCGATTTTTGTGTCTGGGTCATAGAGCTTCTCTGAACTCTACTTCTTATCTTCTTGTTTCGAAGGAGGATTGACCAAATACCACGTCATAACCCCAAGTCCCACTGCCAGAGAAACTCCAGCTGCAAGCACTCCACCCCTGGCAGTTGTCAGGGAAGAATACCAACTCTGGGAATTCTCCGTCTGCTCTGGCAAAGCCTCGCAATCTTCGGCAAGACGAAGTTGTCGCTCCTCCAGCTCAGGCCGCCCCTTTGGCTGTGACACTGGCTCCGGGTCTGGGTCGGGAAACCAAACTTGGCCAGAGGCCACACAGGCCGCGCGCCTGGCACGGTAGTCCTTGAGGAGGCATTAGAAACCCATCTGAGAGATGGAAATAACACGAGGTACGGCGTCATACCTCTAAACATTCCATCACATCTCCGACGATATGGTGGGCGGTCTGCGGGGCAATCCCCTGGGAGATAAGAGATCCGAATATGTGGTTTGGATGCAGCGAGTGAAGCTCGGAGCCATTCCACAAACAGACGAATGCTTCCGGTCCATTGACCAGGTCGACATTGCGGTTCTCGAGGTGTTGGAGAAGCCACTGTCGGACCCTGCCTGAAGTGGCATACTCGCTTGGAACGTTGGTCTTCAGGGTCTTGAGGTGGAGACTGGACCCGTTTTCGACGTTCGTCATGATTGCGGTTTTGGGGTTATATGGTCGGATGGAGTTGACTCTCTGTTTTCGTGGCTGTTTGGCTTGGAGATGTTGAGTTTCTGCCCTGTGGTGTTCTTGTTCTGCACCTGAAGCTTATGTTCTGGAGGTGTCATTTTCTTTGGGCGGGAAATGGCAGATGCCGGTGTGCCCAAATGCCAACAAACAAAGTGGATATTCCAGGCCGCTGACGAGATGGATTGTCGCGCAATTAGCGTGATGCAGATGCGTTCGGTGAGTACTTGTTCCTATTGGTACGTCCATGGCGAGAGTTGCCTCACCGCCACGCAATCCGAGCCTCTCAGAATCGTTCTCGCGGTGTCAACTCCACTCATCCGCATTCAACCCTAACAATACCCCGGCCCATGTCAACCCACTTTGCATCCGCTGGAGGCGACAGCCAAGAACTAA